CCCCGCCAAAATACATTTAGCTTGGGACATTCCCAAAAAATATGATAATGGTTAGTTACAGTAGAGCCACAGTTTCTCCAGCATGGCATATTTACACCTTTTCTTTACCTTTATTTACCGCTTTCTCCTCAAGCGGGGTCTTGAAATATCTAATTTTATTCTTCCAGCAATGCTCTCTCCAGACTCTCAAGCCTCCTTAAACATTTCAGTCCTCAATTCCTTTTCCCAAGTATAATTATTTTTGGCATGGCAGAGTGCTGTGTACAATTTAGAAATGGACTTAAAAGGAATCATGGTCATTGCACTTTTTAAAATGTGAAAAAACTTATGTTCCACTCCTGATAATGTAATACCAATGATATTTTGATTTTGTCTTACTACTTGGCCAAGTGTCTCTATAAATATATGGGTGGGACCATATATATGCTCTGTTGATGAAGTTAGGTACTGTTCTGAGCATTATTTGTGGCTATAGAGTGGCTTTTTGGTTGAGGTTTGTGTGTGGCTCCTCAGACCGCTGTGTATTGCTATCATGCCGTCGTTACTAAAGTTGGTATAACTAGAGAAGCAAGCAGTCGGCAACATTCATCTCTTGAGGGGGTGTCTGACTCAGTGTTACGCTGTGTTTAACCCTAAAGTAATTTTGGGCCGAAATATCCCTTTAATACATAATGAGGGTCTATCATATAGTGCCTGGATTACTCTGATAAACTTGCCCTGAAAGCCAAATTTCCCCACCACCCTCCATAGAAAAACCCATCTGATCAAATCAAAGACCTTCTCCGCATCCAGACTCCCTACAATTGATTGTGTTTTGTCCTTTTGAATTTGTTCTATGATGTGCAGAATTCTTCTGATGTTATCAGTTGTTTTTCCTTGATGAATGAAACCAGTCTGATCTAAATTAATGGGGACAGGCAGCAGCTTCTCTCGTCTACAGGCAAGAATAGATGTTAACAGTTTATAGTCTAAATTGAGGACACTGATCGGCCCGTAGTTCCCACATTCCTGTCTATCTTTGCCCTCTTTCAAGATAACTGAAATGGTTGCCTCCCTCCAATAGGGTGGAATTACTCCCTTCTGTAAGACATAGTTAAATGTCCTCAGTAACAGTGGAGCTAGTTCTGGCCTCAGCCTACGATACTAATGGTGTCATACCCGTTCAGTCCTACCGCCTTCACTGATTTTAGTCGGTGATAGCTGCATCAATTTCCTCTGCAGAGATTGGTTTTTACTAAATCCTCGTTATGAGAGCCTGAGAGTGAAGGTAAGTCCAGAGAACCAAGAAAGGTCTCAGGGGCATCTGACTGTGAGTACAGATCCCTTAAATAGAACTCAAAACTTTCCTGAATCTTTTCTAGTTTGGTTTCCAATATATTAGTTTTAGGGTTCTTGATTTGGTATATTGTACTTTCCTCTTGTTGTTTGCGCAGTTCATATGCCAAATATTTTACTGATTTCCCTTCTATCTCATAATATTTCTGTTTTAGGAAAATTAAATTCTTCAGGGCCTCCTGTGTGTAAATATCTGTGATTTCACCCTGTTATTTTCCTAAATTCCCGCTTTACATTGGGATTTGGGTTATGTATTTCCTCCTGTTGTTTCAGCTTTAAATTAGTCTGTAGTTTTTGCCCTTTGATTCTTTTTAAATGAGAGGTGATAGAAATGAATTTACCTCTCATTTGTGCTTTTCGCGTATCCCATAGGATAATAGGTGAGACTTCCCCTGTGTCATTAATTTCTAAAAATATATTTATGTCTTCCTTTATTTTAGAAACTACGGCAGTATCATTGAGTATATTTGAGTTTAATTTCCACAGAGTGTTTCGTTCCTTCTTCGCCACCTGTAGAGACATAGAAAGAGGACTGTGATCAGACAGATCCCTAGTTAGTATGTCACAGCCTCTAATCTTAAATCTTTCCAAAGGTAATCCAGCCTGGCATAGACTTTAAATGAGTTTGAATAGTGCATGTAGTCATTAGGTTAATCTGAGTAGTCGGTTTGGAAGAGTATAGTTTGGGATCAAGCCTTAAGTTAAAGTCCCCCCCACAGATGATTGTGCCCTGAGAGTCAACCATTAAATTGAAAATATTCCTATAGAATATCCGTTCACTCCCAGGTGGGGCATACATATTTAGGATTGTGATTTCAGATCTCTCTAACCTTCCAGTTACATTGACAAATCTGCCCTCATCATCTCTATCTTCTGAGACATGATCATAGTTGAGTGGTTCAGAAATAAGTGTGGCAACACCCCTTTTATGTTTAGATTTGTCAGATCCGCTTGGTTCACGTGCGTCTCCTAAAGTTAGGCAATCTGGGCCTTTTCTTTTTTTTGGTTTTGATAATACCTTTTTCATCTTGATCACATTTAAAACCCCATTTACATTAAAAGAAAAAAATTTCAATGGTTCATTTTGCATTTGGTTATATTAACTGACCAACCTAAAGTCATGTATTGGTATTTTAAAGTATATTTTTAGTATGTTCATTGGTATTTTTTAAGATTTATTTTAAAGTTTTTTCAGGTATATTTTCAATTCTTTATAGGTATTTAAAAGCTTTTTAATATTGTGATTTAAGAAATATTTTTAATATTTTTATGAGATTTTTTTAAGGTTTAACTATTGGTATTTTCAGGTATGTTAATTGTATGTTTATAGGTGTTTTTAATGTTTATTTATTGGTATTTTTGGCTGTATTGTTAATATGTTAATAAATATTTGTTAAGGTTTATTTATTGGTATCTTTAAGTAGATTATTTGTGTGTTTATAGGTATTTTGAGATTTATTTATCAGTATTTTCTTAGTATGTTTAAAGGTATTTTAGAGGGTTTAGTTATTGCAATTTGAGGTTTAGTTTAAGTATGTTTATAGGTATTTTTAGGTTTATTTGCAGGTATTTTGAGGTCTATTTTCAAGTATGATTTTATGAATAATTTTAGGGTTAAATAATTGATATTTTGATTTCAATCTTTTGCGTGTTGACAGGTATTTCCAAGTTTTTTTTTTATTTATGGTGTTTTTTAATATATTTTTTGTATGTTAATAGGTATGTTTTAGGTGCATTGATTAGTATTTTGAGGTATATTTTCAGTATGTTTATAGGTAATTTTAGGTTTATTAAGTTGTATTTTGAGGAATATTTTTACAATAATCATGTGTTTTTTTTTAGATAGATAGATAGATAGATAGATAGATAGATAGATAGATAGATAGATAGATAGATAGATAGATACGTTATAAATCCCAGAGGGAAATTCAAGTTTTAAGTTATTAATTGATAACTGATTTACAATTTCACAATGTTTATAGGTAATTTTAGGTTTAGTTGTTGTTATTTTCAAAGGGATATTCTTGCCTAAATTTAACTTAGGGTCAAACACACTGTAACACCGAGTTAGACACCCCCTTCGAGAGATGAATATTGCTAACTGCTTTCTTCTCTAGGTATACCAACTTCAGTAACGACCGCATGATAGCAACACACAGTGGTCTATGGCTCCACATGCACACCTCATCCAAAAAGCCACTCTATAGCCACAATTATTCTCAGAACAGCACCTAACTTCATCAACAGTACATATAGGGTCCCAGCCATAGTACTAGCCATCAAAATCTTTTTAGCTTTGCCTCGTTTCTTAAGCAAAGAGACCAAACACAACTCACCCACTCTCATCCAGCAGCAACTTGTTTATGGGAGGAGCCCAGACGAGTCCTTCACCGAGTGCATAAGTAGTGTGTGTATAAGTACAATTTAGATTTAATAATTGGTATTTTAAAGTTAATTCTATTATGTTATAGGTATTTTTTAGGTTTATTTATTGGTATTTTTAGGTATATATTTGTTTGCTGAGAGTTTTTTTTTTCAGTTTAGTTTTTGGTCTATAAGATTTATTTTTAAATTGTTTATGGGTATTTTTTAGATTTCGTTTTTAGCATTCTGAGGTATATCTTTAGTATGTTTAAAGGTATTCCAAGATTTATTGATCAGAATTTTATGTATGTTTTAGGTATTCTTTTAAGTTTATTCATTAGTATTTTCAGTTATATTGTTGGCATGTTTATTAATATTTTTTAAATTTAACAACCACACGAGAGCAATACACAATGGTCTATTGCTCCATGCGCAAACCTCATCTAAAAAGCCCATTTATTGTTTGTTTATTGGTATTTTAGATTTATTTATCGGTATTTTGAGGCATATCTTTAGTATGCTCATAGATATTTAACTACCAGTTATGCCACAAATAATGACATTGCATTTTACATTCTCTTTAAAACATTTTTTAGACCCCAATAACCCTGCCTCTGCCATTAAAACATATCTTAATTCTTACTGATGTTGAGCAGTTAATTGTGTTTTCCACAATTTAGTTATTGTATCATTTTTTTCTTTAATCCTCTGAGGTTATAGCAGAGAATCACTCAGATACATGATGGAAAATAACATATTTATATGGAGAAGACATTAGCAGCAGAGGATTAAAACCTCCATTATTCAGATGCTGAGATGCTAGATTGACACCTGAGGGACCAAGTTCATATAAATAACTAACATACACAAGGTACTTTAGGGAAACAATTACATTAGCGTGTGCTTTGTGTGCAATATGGCACAATTCCCACACCATTGTGTGTGTGTCTATGTGTCTTTGTCTTAATAAGGACCAGCCGCCTAATGTGCCCCTCTCTATGGGACCTTTGTTGAAGGGTTGGTTTGGTGCTAAGGGTCAGACTGACAGGACAGTTTTTGTTTGTTAAAAATGTATGTAGTGGAAATCAGCTGTGACCTTTCAAAATAGGATGTGGTCCAATGTTGTGATTTGATTTTCAGGTGTATTTTGGAGCACAAGCGTTTGTGCGGAGCAGCAAGACAACCAGCTGCTGTGCTTTTAGAACTCAAGTGAGTCAATGACCTCTGAGGCCTGTACAGGTGTTACAGACTTAACAGGTGTAATGGGTGTTGTTTCTCAGGTGTTGTTTTTTTCTCTCCAGATGCTGCATCAAGTGGGCATGTCCTCTTTCTGTGCCTTGGGGGCAGGATTTTGCTGTTTGGTCAGCGCCACAGGTCTCTCTAAGGGTCCTCTCTGTCTCTACAATTCCACCTCTGGTCCCACCTGGGGGGTCCCTCTACAGCCTGTCCCAGACAGGTGAGATCAAGTCAGCCACGCATACAGTCTCTCCTACAACAAGACACGACACAAACAGAACCTTTTTCTGTCTGTCTGTCTGTGTCACTTTCTATCCCTTTCCTTGTGTCTGTCTCAGCCATGCAGGGTATCTGTATAACAGGACTATGTGGTCTGGGGTTTGTCTGGAGCCCAGAGGGGTGGTCCAGTGGAATACAGTTCTCTTTGGTGTGATGGGGGGCACCAGCATGTTGCAGACTGTCCTCTGTGGAACAAACATCCTGATCTCAGTTATGGGCCTGATCCTGGGGCAGGGTCTCTGCAGCAACAAGGTCTGGGTCTCACCTCCACCTGGCACTCAAAAACATCACAGACGTTCAGATTAACATGAAACATTAAATCTAAAATATTTGACATTGAAAATTGAACCAGATACAACATTGACCAAGCTTTATGAAGGACTTTTGCTACACTCCTGCTGCGGAAGACCCGCAAATGCATGCAGTAATTTGTATCTTTGGAGACTTGTCTGTAAGCCTCTAGCTCCGTACAAGCATGGGGTGCAAGCACCAATGATACTGGCTACTACTACCATTTTAAGCATGACTGGGCCTTTAAAGTAAGCTACATCCATTGATTCAGCTTTGACACTTGGGTTAAGTTAGAAAGATATTCACAGACTTGGACTTCTGGGTCAATAACCCATCAATGAAACCACATAGTTACAAACCTGACCCCTCTTTTTTAACCACTGTCATGAAGATTGAGCAACAATCTTGTTTTCCTCAGAACGAGCTGTCCTTCAAGCCAGACAACTTAAATTGGTCTCAATACGCTGGCATTGTTGGCTTGATGATGTAGGGGCCGTTGGCAAATTACCATAGTGAAGGAATACTGTAAGAGAAAATTTTTATTAACTTACCATGAAAAGATGCTACTGACAAAATGATCATAAAATGTAAATGTTGCTCTCCTCTACTTTATACTTCAGCTCTAGCTTTAGAGAAATAAGTTTTAATTTTATTTATGTTATTTTTTTACATTCAACACTGTTAATTAGTAAGTAATTACTTTAAAAACTAAAATAATTATACTGTTGTTAACACACTATTCAAACTCATTTAAAGTCTAGGAGTGCAATAGCGCAAGTATCAGGTAGTATTTACAACATAGATATATGTATGCATACCTAGACATGTATCCATACATATACAGTACAGGCCAAAAGTTTGGAAGCAAGATCAGATTTGTACAAAAAAAGATCATAGTTTCATATATATAATTTGCAACACAATAAACATGACTTTTGTGTAAAAAGTAACTTATCAGAAGACATTTGACTATGATTATTATTTGAGTTATTGTTGCTTAGACTTTGCTTTCTTTAAAGTAACCTCCTCTGGCTTGAACAACAGCTTGGCATATACCAGGCATTCGTTCCCCAAGTTTTTTAAGGTATGTTCCAGGGATTGCATTCCAAGCTTTCTTAAGTTCATCAAAAAGAGACTGCTGATTTGTGGGACGCGTTTTTCTGACAGATCGATCCAATTCATCCTGCACAAGCTCTACTGGAGTAAGGTCTGGAGACTGAGGGGGCCAAACCATCTTTTGAAGAACACCTTCCTCTTCTTTTTTGTCTAGGTAACCCTGACAGAGCTTGGCAGAGTGCTTAGGGTCATTGTCTTGCTGCAAAACAAACTTGTGAGCCACAAGTCTGAGTCCAGATGGAACAGCATGTTGTTGGAGGATGGAGTGGTACTATTCCTTCTTTATGATACCCTTTACTTCAAACAAATCTCCTACTCCATCACCTGCAAAACATCCCCATACCATGGAACTACCACCTCCATGCTGAATTGTGGGTGTAATACATGGTGCTTTCAGACGTTCACCAGTTTGTCTGCGGACATAGACTCTGCGTTTTGAACCACAGTGCAAACTTGTTTCTAGTCATCATAAGCCAATTTTTGAGCTTTTGCCCACTCATATCTCTTTTTCTTGTTCTGTGGATGAAGTAGTGTTTTTTTGCAGATACACAACCCTTCAGACCAGCCTTTCTCAAACATCATTTCACAGTTTTAAGAGATATGGGTTTCGACCGTGTTGTGTTGATTTCCTCCCTTATTTGTGGTGCCGTCTTTCGCCGATCTCTCTTACTGGTGACAATGCTATGTTTATCCCCTGCTTTAGTAGTAACTCTCTTTCATCCAGGCCTTTTTCTATCATCATAACTTTCAGGTTCCTCTAGTCTTTTCAGAGTGTAGTGGACTCCTTTGTTAGACACCTTTAGGTGTTTTGCAATTTCTCTTTCTGTGTATCCTTCTTTCCTCAATGTACAAATCAGTACTTTTTTTTAAACATATCTTTATTTTTTTTTGTGTTCAAACAACAGCAACCACATTAAACATATGGCAGTAATGAAAGTAATAATGAGAAAAATTTAAAAAAAAAAATACAAATACAAAAGGGGTAAAAAAAGAATATCAAGTTAACAAAATAAAAAGGAATAAATTACATCAACAAAGTAGTGAAATAAAAAAAAAAGTATACTCTTGTCAGCACCATAAATGTTATTTATTTCCCATTGCCACCTCCGTATCTCCAACTTTCAACATTTCTAGAAACATCTTCCAAATGACATAAAATTCAGAAGGCTTCCCTCTGACAATATAGGTCAGCTTCTCAAGAGCCAAACACGACATTAAGTTATTCAGCCATTGGTTAAAAGAGGGGCAGCTAACATTCTTCCAACATAACGCAATACAACGTTTGGCCTGCAGTAAACAAAGGTCAACCAATTTCCTTTCTTTGTGAGATAAAGGACAGTCCTCCGGATAAATGCCTAAAATGCATAGCTTAGGACATAGAGGTACCGGGGAAGTTGTGATTTGAGAGATATATTTTAACACAGAGCTCCAAAATTTTTGGATTTCTTTACATTTCCATAAACAGTGAAACAATGTACCCTGGTGGTTGTTACATTTATAACATAGATCAGGTACATTAGAATCAAATTTATTTAATTGTACAGGGGAAATATATGTTCGCATTATCCAATTAAATTGTATCATTCTCAATCGAGTGTTGATGGTTAGAGTATGTGTTTTTACTCCATTCACTGAGTGAAATGTCCTCTTCTAAGTCATATATCCACTCCCATCTCTTACTGTCCGAGTTTTCCTTATGGTTTTCAACCAGCATATTATAAAACCGGGAAACCAATCTTTTCCCAAAACAGTCTTTTATGACATGTGTTTCTAAGGTGGATAATGGAGGTTGTTGTACTGAATTGTTTAAGTGAGACAAAATAAAACTTCGAAGTTGTAAATACTTAAAGAAATGTTTTTGCGGTATATCAAACTTTGCCTTTAACTCACTGAATGACATTAGAGTATAATCCTCATATACATCCTGCACTTTTATTATACCCTTTTTCAGCCATGTTTTAAAGCCCATGTCGTTCTTTGCCGGGGCAAAGTGATCATTACCCCAGATCGGGGCAAAACAGGACAACTTTGGAGAGTCACACAATAATTTTTGTACAACATGCCAAACAACAATGGTGTTTTTTACAAAAGGATTAGTAGTAACTTTCTTTAATGTTTTAAAGGATGCTGAGTATAAATAGCTGTTCAATGGTAAACCTTTTGAGGATTGTTTTTCAATTTCTAACCAGGGCATGACAACATCTTTAGAAAACCAGAACATTGTGGCCCTCAACTGTGCAGCCCAATAATACCATTCTAGATTAGGCAGTTGTAGCCCCCCCCTATCGTAAGGTAGATGTAAGACGGAGAGTCTGAGTCTTGGCTTCCTATTGTTCCAAATGAAATTGGAAAGAAGCTTTTTGGTCTTGGGAAAAAAGGAAGGAGGAGGGGCTAGTGGAATTGATTGAAAAATAAATAGAAATTTAGGTAACATAGTCATTTTTATTAAGTTTATTCTTTATTCAAAATAGAGAGAGGTAGCGCTGTCCATCTCGTGATTTCTTCTGACACGCTAAGTAATAAAGGTTCATAATTGGCTGAGCTGAGATTATTAATCTTTGGGGTTATTTTGACGCCCAAGTACTTAAATCCCTCAGTGGCATTCATAAATGGATGTGATAGTAAAGGTTTCTTCCTTTCGTTTTCATTTAGAAACATTATAGATGACTTTTCTTTGTTCACATTAAACCCAGATATACTTCCAAATTGATTAAACAGCTCCAAGAGAGATGGTATCGATTCTGCCAGTTGTGATAAGAATACAATAGTATCATCAGCGTACATCGCTGCATTGTGTTCTAAATCTCCGGTCTTAATACCATGAATTAAGGGATGAGATCTGATCGCTATTGCTAATGGTTCCATGGCTATTACAAAAAGAAGAGGTGAAATTGGTGACCCTTGCCTAGTGCCCCGAAATAACTCAAAAGGCTTTGAGGTGAGATTATTTGTAGATACCACTGCAGAGGAATCAACAAATAAAATTTCAACCCATCGACGAAAGTGATCCCCAAATCCAAATCGTCTAAGCACCTCGAGTAGATAGGGCTATTCGACTCGGTCGAACGCTTTTTCGGCGCCAAGTGATAAAATTGCAGTGTCAGGGGATTCTTCACATTCATGAATTATGTTAAGAACTCTCCTCACATTGTGGAACCCCTGCCGCTTTTGCACAAAGCCATTCTGGTCCCCATGTATAATGGCTGGTAGAACCCTCTCGAGTCTCATGGCTAGAACCTTAGCTATAATCTTCGCATTCGAATTTAAAAGTGATCTGTAAGAGCTACTTTCGGTTGGCACTTTGCCTGGTTTTAGAATAAGAGTGATCAGAGCACTACGTAATGAAACGGGGAGGCAACCTGTTTTAAAGGACTCCAAATAAACATCCAATAATGGGGCAATTAATTTTGTTTTAAACAATTTGTAAATATCTATTGGAAGCCCATCTGGACCTGAAGCTTTACCTCCTCTTATGTTTGTAATGGCGTTGGAGATGTCATTTAAATTTAATTCTCTCTCCAGTTCAGTTTTTGTACCTTCAGAGATACAGGGAATGACCAAACCATCTAGGAAATTACTTTGGTTTACCAGGTCTGGAGGGCTTTCAGAATTATAAAGGGTTTTATAATATGAGGCAAAGGTGTTATTAATTTCTGTGGGATCTGTAGATAGGTCTACTTGTTTGTTCCTAATTATATTGATTGATCTGTCGGATTCAAGTTTCTTAATCTGCCAAGCTAGCAGTTTACCCGGCTTCTCACCCTGATCATAAAAGGATTGTTTCAGTCTTATTATACCATCTTCAGCCTTAAGCAAGGAGAGCTCCTCATATTTTACTTTAAGGGTCAGTAGTTCCTGTTTTTTTTGTGTCGAATCATCTATGCTAACCTCTCTCTCTAATTCTCTAATTTTAGAGTCCAATTCAATCATAGTTTGTTTGAATTTGTTGAATTTAGAACTGGTGTAACTTATCATTTGCCCTCTATATGCTTTAAAAGCTTCCCATCTAATTGCTGCAGTTGTTTGATTTGTGTTTATAGAGAAGTAGAGATCAATATGTTCTCCTACAAATTTTATAAATCCAGAATTCTGCAGCTATTTGGGATGTAATCGCCAATTGGTCGAATGTCTATACCCTTGATCGATGTTGTAAAAGAGAGAGGTAGGGGCATGGTCAGATAAAACAATACAATCATATACACAATTAGTTATACTGGGTAGCAGAGATGAGGAAATTAAAAAAGAATCTATTTGGGAGTGGGTTTTAAATACAGCAGAATAGCAAGTATTCCCTTTTGTTGGGGTTTTGAGCTCTCCAAGGATCACATAGGTTCAGATCTTTCATATATTGCTGAATTTTCTTTCTTGTTTGGGAATGGGATGTATCTATCCCTGCTGAGCGATCTAGTTTCGGGTCTAAAGCACAGTTTAAGTCACCTGCCAATATTATCTTACCAGGGAGGGTGGCCAGCAATAAAATAAGTTTTCAAAAAATGATGGGTTATCATAATTGGGGCCATATATATTAACCAAATTAATGGTTTCTCTCAGGAGAGTTCCCTGAACCACCAAAAATCTACCATTTTTGTCACAAATAGTGTTATTTATTTGAAGAGGCACCAAGTTATGAATTAACACCATCACCCCTCTTGAATGAGAAGGGAAACAGGATGCTAGTACTTTGCCTGGCCATCTCCTACGTATTTTAACCAAGTCTTTGAGTAAATGAGTCTCCTGAATAAACACTATTGATGACTTAAGTTGTTTCACCCTGGTAATCACCTGTTTTAATTTAGTCAACTTTACCATCCGTCTAACATTCCATGAAGTAAATTTGAAATTCTTGTTTGAGGTCATCTAATTTCAATACTGTTTGATATTTTGGGAGTGTACAAGGGAAAAAAAAAAAAAAAAAAAAAAACACACACTTGCTCTGCCATGAACAAAAACCCTTAGCTGTCAACCTGAACAAGACAGCCCCACGTCTTTTCCCATCCTCCCCCTGACCTCGGGGTGCAGTTAAGTGCACACACTGATCCAGTGTAAACAACGGAGCAGTTAAACCAAACCATGCAATCATTATAACAGACCTACCAAAACTTGCAGGACAATTGTGTCTCCTGGCAAAAAATAAAAATAAAAAAAATAAAATGAATCTACACAAACAAGTATATACGATATGTTCATAACAGTTTTTCTTGCAGCTTCACCCACATTTAGGAAAGCTGACAGTTTACTGAATAACCACTTTAAATGTGAAAACAAAAGGAATGAAAGCCCACTTCAGTAAAAAAAAAAAAAGGGCGCGTGGCAGTCTCTGTACATAAAACGTACATGAAAAGCCCATCTACATCTGCTGAGATTGACGAAATATTACAAATATGTTAACAAAACAGAAAAGTCTCTGCAGAAGAAAAAGAGAAAAAAATCTTTCACATGTGGGTAACTGGCCCATAATCTATCAATATCAAACTATAGCTGTTATAGGTGGATAGTAATGAGTCCAACCGTTCTGTCATGGGCTACTTCCAAGCAGTATAAACACTCCCCAATAAACTCTCAGACGCAGTTGATTCACCTCTTCAAGTTTACTGAGGAATCTTTTGAAACTGAAATGATACAGTAACATAAAACAATGAGTTACAGCTTACACACAAACAAGCAGTAGAGCTAAGCTACATTAGCTTTAGCCGTTATAATCACAAACGAGCTAGAATGCTGCTAGCAACGAAAAACATGAAGCTAACTTCGTGTAGCATTAGCGATTAGCGCCATAGCCGTTTTAACAACTTAATCACACTTAAACAACCTTCATCTTAATACAACAATACAACAACATATGAACACTTACAGATAGTGATGTGTCCTTCAGTGCCGAGGCTTCGAAGCGTGTGTCGAGTAATGAAGGGGGCGTTTCCGAGAAGCGCGTATCGAGGCTTGCTTCATGTAGGGGTGGAGCCAAAAATGATGACGTCCGAAGCCTCGCTACCCGGCTATACCACGTGACTGATTCAAGAAACGGTTCACGGGTTTGGCGGATGATTTAACAGACAGCGAAACGCAATGGAGTCCTGCCCCACTCACAATCCATAGACTCGAGACTTGTTGAAAAGTTGTTTTTAAATAGAAATAAATAAATATAAATGAAATGTTTATGTTTTATCTGTTGTCCCCGTAACAAAAGTACGAACAACAAACTAAGTAACACATTCACATTACAACCCTCTCGATAATTTATGTCCTCTTCCCCTTTTTGACACTGCAACTGTGTCTTAAAGACAAACACCATATTAATAACTTTATCATTTCTGTATTGTATCACAAACACACGGCATCACATCCATTCATTCATTGGATTCAAAGCTTCGCGCACCAAAGCCTCGGGGTGTCTTTGGTTTATCACTCTGCCTGTTTTACATTTATTGTCCACTTGATGGCGCAATAGAGTAAATGAAGCACGATCATGAAGCTTCGGCCCAGGAGGCGAGTAATTGGATGGAAAGCTTCAATGCTTCATGAGGCTTCATCTCGCCATCACTACTTACAGACGTTGCATGGACTAGAGGGATGAAAACGGAGGAAAGGAGAGGAGCTTAGAACTGAACAACTGACGGACCTCGCGAATCTGCCCTCAATAACTTCCGGTTTCTCGGTGACTCGCCGGCTACGTGTTGCCATGGCAACGTGATGTAAACAACTCACACTAGAGCGCAAAAACACTTCAGTAAGACGCATTCAAGCAGCACAACACACATTCAAGCAACATTACACGTTCATTTAATTAACCTGTCAGTCTTCAGTGTTCTGTAACCCCTGAACGAACTTTTCAGCTTCAGCTGGGGATTCAAACTCACGTGTTTGTCCATCAGACGACACTCGTAGCTTGGCTGGGTAGATTATTCTGTAACGAATGTTCATCAATCTCAGCCGTTGTTTTACCCGGTGGAAACCCCTCCTGCGCCGGTGGAGCTCCGTCGAGATATCGGGGAAGAACATGACCTCTTGGCCGGCATAGATAACTTTGCCTTTGGCCCTGGAAGCTCGCATCACTCGGACTTTATCCTGGAAGTTTAAAAACTTCACGATGATGACTCTCGGTGTGGTTGAACGGTTCGGTTGCATCCGGCCGGGTAACCTGTGAGCTCTTTCAATGAGAGGTGGACTCGGGAATGTTGCTGGTCCCAGCACTTCGGGGAGCCACTTCTCCAGGAAAGCAACCATGTCATTTCCTTCCACCTTCTCTAGCACGTTAACTATCCGTAGGTTGGAGCGACGAGAGCGGTTTTCGAGGTCGTCAAGTTTGTTCGTTAGGAGAGTCACTTGTTTGGCTAGCGCGTCTGCCCTGCCTTTCTCTGAGTTAACTGTGTCTTCTACAGTGCTAATGCGCACTTCTGCTTCATCCATGCGCGCCGAGAAGTCCTGCACGTCTCTTTTAACATCTTGAATGGCTTTCAGCACCACATCGAACTTAGTGGAAAAGTCATTTCTGATCTGGTCGAGTAACTGAATGACGTCCATGTTTTGAGCTGATCTGGAGTCCACGTCGTCCTCACAAGGCAGTGGCAAGACGCTAGCATCACACTCTGAGTTAGCTAGGCTATTAGCATCTAAGACGTCGTCTTCTTCACACTGAGAAAAGTTTGATTTAGATTTGATTTTCTTTGGCATTGTCGTGGGTATGCAGAGTTAAGTCGCCGCGAGTTTAAGTTGCACTGTTTGTGCAGTAAAAGGAGAGTTTACAGGATTTTACTGAAAAATCGCCAGGAGCTCACAAAAACGCAGGTGTTCAGTTCAGTGCCATAACCACGCCCTAATGACAAATCAGTATTTTTGTTTCTTTACTCAGTTGCTTCTTTCTAGCCATTTTTGCGGTAGTTTGAACTCAGTTGAGATTTATTAGGATTTTTGTATGCAGACTCTCAAAAGCCAAAAGTTGAAGTGAATAATCCAACAGCGATTTTTTTTTTTTTGCTTTTGCACTGAAGTTGTGACTGTTCCAAATGTTTTTAACCCTAAAACTAAGCCCTTATTATCTTTTGCTGACATATATTTAGTAATGGTCTATTAACATCAATGTATATCTGAAGGTAAATGGAGTAAAATGGTGCATTTCCATGAAAGCAACATCTGATCATGGAGTAAATACATCCCAAAATACATAAAACTCATGCTGGGTTTAAAAAAAAAAGCATTGTGAACAAAAACTTAAAGTTACTCCCAACTGTTCGGCCTGTAATGGCCTTGCTTCCAAACTTTTGTAATATATATATATATATATATATACACTCCTTAGCACTGTTGGACCTTAAGACGGTTCTTAGTAGAGCTTCAAACTGCAAAAAGAAGAAATGGGAACAAGAGACCAAAAGTTTTGAGTAGGCAATTTATTGAAAACAACAATTTAACTGAAATAGGCTGTTCATTAGCTGATCAAAAGTTTAAAGACCACAGCTCAAAAAAACCTAAACACCTCCAAAAACAGAAATTAAAGTGTCAAAAAATGACTCAGTAATGAGTCGCTCCACCATTATTGTTGATTACTTCAAAAATTCGTTTTGGCATGCTTGATACAATTGTTTCCAAAAGGTTAGAGGGAATGTTGCTCCAAGTGGTGAAGATGGCTTCACGAAGGGCATCCACTGTCTGGAACTGATGTCCATTTTTCTAAATGTCCCTTTCTTCCACCTTTGAATGTCCCATGTTTGGTGCTTCCTTGCAAAGCCCAAACAGGCAATTTTGTGACGTTGAAGGAGACGTGGCCTTTGAAGACGTTTTTTGTTTTTGAAGCCCTTCAAGAGTTCAAGAGAGTGACTGTTCTATGAAAGAAATTGTCTCTCAGCCTGCTGGTCCTGACCCGAAGGCTCCTGTAGCAGCGGCCAGAGGGCAGGAGGCTGAAGAGTCTGAGAGCAGGATGAGAGGAGTCCTTCACAATGTTCAGATCCCTACGCAGAGAGCGCTTGCACAGTACAGTTCCAATACCAGGTTGTAAAATCCACCATCTATCCAAGTGGACCCCTCTCTGTGGGCTGTTTCATTGTTGTTGTGGATGAGGCCTATCGGTGTGGTGTCGTGTGCAAATTTGATGATGGAATTAGTGAGGGACACTGGTCTGCAGTCGTGAGTGAAGAGAGAGTAGAGAAAGGGGCTTAAAACACAACCCTGTGGGACTCCGGTGTTGATTTGAAGAGTGTTGGAACTATGGTTGTTTAAATGAACGTGCTGTGGTCTGTCTGTTAGAAAGTCCATGATCCAGTTACACAGAGATGGATTGATGCAGAAGTCAGGGAGTTTGTTGATCAGCCTCGATGAAATGACAGTGTTAAATGCCGAGCTGAGAGAAGAGAATCAACAAACAGCATCCTGGCATACGTGTTGTTATTATCCAGATGTGTCAGAACATTGTGAAGGGCCAGGGAGATAGCGTCTTCTGTGCTCCTGTTGGTACAATAGGCAAACAGGTGGGGGTCCAGGCCTGGTGGGATAGAGGCCTTCAATTGTGCCAGAATGAGCTGTTCGAAGCACTTCATCACAAGTGGTGTGAGTGCTATGGGGCGATAGTCATTGAGTGTACTTGGGCTGTGATGTTTTGGCACTGGCACAATTGATGTTGTTTTTAGCCATTTGGGCACAGTAGCTTGAGCAAGAGACAGATTGAAAATATCTGTAAAAACTGGTGCAAGCTGCACAACACATGCTTTAAGCACTTGTCCTGGGATGCCGTCTGGACCGGCAGCTCTATGAGCATTGGTACGGCTCAACATGGAGTGGACCTCAGCCAGTGAAAATAAGTGAGTGATGGTCAGGGGGGAGAGTCAGTTTAGTGGCAGAATCTCCATTATCTCTTTCGAACCGAGCATAGAACTCATTAAGCTTGTTCAGAAAGAAAGCGTCTGTAACAATGGGACTATAGTTTTTGGCTTTATAGTCACTGACGTACTGTATACCCTACCACATACGCCAAGGGTCAGAGTTTGTAAGATTCTCCTTGACTCCTTGCACTGTTACAACGCTTAGCAGTGTTGATGCCCCTCCTCAGGTTGGCCCTGGATGTGCATCCCCTGACACAAAGGCCCTGTTACGTGTCTTTAGTAGTAGACGTACCTCCTTGTTCATCCACGGCTTCTAGTTTGGGTACGTGGTGATGTGCTTTTCAGATGTAACATTATTTACAGTATTGTTAACATACTTCATAACAGCAACACTGTATGTGTCCAGATCAGTGTTGGTACCTCCAGAGCCAGGAGAGGCAAACACACTCCAGTCAGTATGATGAAATTTGTCCTGAAGTGTAGAATCTGCACTCTCTGGCCACACTTTGATGGTCTTAGTTGAAGGCCTCTCACGATTTATAAGGGGAGAGTATCTGGGGGTGAGAAACAGTGATAAATGGTCTGACTGACCCAGATGGGGAAGGGACGCTGCAGAGTAAGCTCCAGCAACATTTGTACATGATCCAGTGTTTTGTTTCCCCTTGTGTGACAGGAAACGTGTTGGTGGGATTTTGGGATCACAGTTTTTAAATTAGTATGGTTAAAGTCACTGTAGCGATTTGAATTTATAATAAATGTCTGAAGATTAATAATCTCAAATTATGACATTTATGCACTCGTTGAAAGGGGCACCACCCACCCTTAATGGTGGGAAAATAAAGAAAACTAAAGTTTAATTCAGAAATCAAACATCAAGTCAATCATTAATTAATCAATCTCATATCTTGAGCCGAAATTCTCATTTCAGGGACTCCACTTCTGGAAGAACACTAACAGACAAGAACTTAGAAAAATAATGATCTGTTTATTACAGGATAAATGATGGTACAACATACATGCAATAAATGATGATAAGATAATGAGGATAAATAATAATAGGTGAATAAATAAAGATTCTGAGTCAGGCTAGGAGCACTAAAGTTAATGATAGTGATTGAATATGCGCTAACATATTAACCTACACTAACCTTGGTGTCGAGATAAACTCGGATGTGGATTTGGAGGAATCTAAGATTACCAGAATAAGTGGATATCTGAGTTATGAACGCATGAGACAGCACCAGCCCTGCTTGGAGCTCTGGAGGTTTGCATACTTAAGTGAGACCGGTCCTTGGAGAAGATGGAGCATGTTCCGAAGGTCCAGGGCTACCGGCGGTTCAAGCGGTTCAGCTCAGAAGATGACTGAAGTCAGCCGAAGGATGGGCCAGGAGTTGTAGCACTCGGGCCCGAAGCAAAGCCGGCGCCTGTGGATCCTGTGGATGCTCGTTTGGACGCTTCTTTGGTCTCACTCAAAAACTCTGGCACAGAGGATGACCTGGGCCTGCTGGGTTGCGTTCAGAGGTGACTTTGAAATCATGCAGATAACTCAGAAAAACGAGGGTCAATGACCAGAGAAAACTTTCAAAAATGGCTTTGCAAAATTAAAGAAAAATCAATCAAAGGCTTAATCTTGAATTGCTATGCGCACAAAAAGTTGAAGTTTCAAAACTTGAACTAAGACGATGTTAAAGAAAATCAACGTGAATCAACACGTGGCGTAAAACTTAGAAGACTAAGAAAAAGTTCTAAGAGAAAACAAAGAAGAGGACCACAGAAGGGTGTGGACAGAAGAGCGAAAAGGGGAGAAGACGAGGAGAAGAAGCAAGGGTACAAGAGAGTGAGCAACCCCACTCCACTGGTTTTCTCTTCTCACACTGGGAGTGTCTCTGGCGTGTGTGTGAGGAGAAAGAGGAGGGGGTCGTCGGGTCTCCATCTGCAGACGAGACCTCTTGGATCTCTAATCATTTGATCTAACTTATACTTTTGGCTGGTAAAAGAGTCAGATCTGATACTCACTCACTATGATTAATATAATTGAATACTTGGTTTCATGATAAATGATTTGATACTAAACACATATGAATGAAATGCAGGATCACATCAAACATTCTCATTACGTTTAAAGTATCACATTGACCATGCTAAATTACTCTGAAATGAAACAGATAGTAACACATAAGACTGTGAACAACAAAAGAGTAAACACATGTGAATGAACGTCATCATGATTAATAATGGATTCTAAATACTTACATTCAGATTATTCAATGACATTATAACCACCTAATGGTTAAAAATACTAAATAAACAACTAAAATATAAACCAAACATTTCTAAACCATTTCTGTTACTTAGTGTAAAGTTATGATTCATAGTCAATAAATTTAACTCTTAAAAGTTCATGAAACAGTCTGAAAAGCTGTTGGTCTAAAGAAACTTAAGAATAAGAATTTATTCTGTCAGAGTGATAACTTGGCTTCTGGAGCACATAGAAAAATGGGAAACATCTCATTTTAACACAAATTTCATGATTAGACAGATTAGTGCATTGCTGAATGCATAAGATGTCATGATCAGTCATTTGTATTCTTTCACCAAAGGAATGTAGTCTTTATCAGTGTATGGTCGAGCAGGGTTTTACGACCGAGGTCTGGAGGTCAGTGTCCCCCCCTTATCTTGGGGTCCGTATGTTCACACACTTTAAGACGGTAAATCTCAAATGGGAGATCTGGGTTGAGGCGTTAATGTTTATTTAGATGGTCAGCGATGGAGTCAGTTTGAAAGGTAATAAAAACTCTGTCTCTGTTCTCCGAATTGACCAATCGTGAAGAGCCAGAGGTTTAGGTCAACCTCCGATCGGGTCACTTAGGTAACCTGAAAGTGCAAACAAGTCTGGAAAGATTTATATCCTGTGTCCTGGGACCAGACAAGGAAACTTTCCTGTGAGGAATGTGTGAGTTTCACACCCAGGGTTGTCTTGATTGCTACATCACCAACAACTATGAAAGCTAAAATAAAAGTAGCGGTGAACTCCTGTGGCAAATAAAATGGTCTGCATTTAACTACAAGATATTCCAGATCGGGTGTGCACTGTCTCTCCATGGTAGCAGAGTCTGTACACCAAGCTTTGCTAACGTAAATGCACGGCCCACCGCCTCTGGTTTTACCGAGTCAGCTGTAATCCGATCTGCCGGGTGTAAGTTGCAACCAGCTAGCGCAATAGCAGTATCCAGGATAGCATCATGAAGCCATGGTACAGTGAAAATCATGGCGTTACACTCTTAAAGTCTCTTACTGTGAGTGATGTCATATCTCATCCAATTGTTCACCAATTAATGTACATTGGCCAGGAGTATGCTGGGTAAGGAGAGCCAATGTGGAGTTAGCCATAGCTTAGCCCTCAGTTCACCCTGCTCGCTCCATCTTTGTTAGGGTCAGCGTGCACTTCCACCCGGCCAAGTAGCAAGCGTAGCCTCAGGTGTTCCGGAGACTTCAGGGATGAGTTGAAGGTCCGGGTTGAAGCCATGGGGGATGTGTAAACTAATATCCAGAAGCTCCTGTTGGTTGTAAGATGTTAGAGCGGAGGTATTCCATGTAAACAACCCCGAAATGAGCAAGAATAGTTGCAAAATTGCAAAACTAGAGAGACACTGGGCCTTGCAATGCGCTCGCGCCACCATCTTAAATATATAATGTTAACTACATCAAACTCACCCTGATGATCAAACATCATCCATAGTTTAAACTACAGCTCTGACTTGAGAGGAATAGGATTTTAATTAATGTGATTTTTTTGTATCATATATCTCCTCTCTCTTTGCTGCAGGACAGAAAGATTCAGAAGATCTTTTGTACCAACAGCTATCAGACTGTTTAAGTCTTGTGTAAATAGTAGATAATTTTTAGAGATGTATTATGCAAGACAACAGACAACTGAATTTCCCTTCGGGGATAAATAAAGTTCTTATTCTTTTTCTTATTTTCTACAGTAAGAAATGCAGGGTATGCTAAAATAAAAAAATATATATATATGAGAAAATTACAGAAATTTAATTAATTCATTATTTCTCTAAAGCCACGATGTGTGTGTGTGTGTGTGTGTGTGTGTGTGTGTGTTCACAGGTCAGTCCAGTTTCAGCCTAAGGGAAGGTCATTGAACAGAGACTCCAGCAGTGCTATTATTCTGGCGGGCTCCTGATGCACTGAGAGAAAAAGGGCTTTACATCAAATGTTTTGATTAAATTAGTTTAATGATCAGTTATATTTTGATTATTCTGCTGTCCAAGTTCTCCATATCAACAGTTTCTAAGTTTGGATATTTATGAGCTTTTATTTTAGTTATTTCTGTTCATTTCTAATTTTTATTTATTTTCCAGAGACATTAAAGTAAATTATTGACATAAATGAGCATTGGTCTTTTATGAACAGTATATATAAATGAATTGATTTTTTTACTGATGGAGACTTATTATAATAAAAAAAAATATTTCATGATTGGTAAACACATAAGTCACAATCAGCTGCTTTTGTATTGTAATATGTTTTTTCTGTAATTTTGAAATAAAAAAATATTTAAATAAAATAGATGAAGAACTGTGTTTTAGTTATAAATAAAAAGTCCTCTAACAGAAAAATCTGCTCTAGATCTTTGCAGGTTATATATATAAAACAGACCCACCATCAAACAACCACATGATATACAGAATTAATTTTCAAAAATCTCCTATTGATGTTAAGTACTATGAAAAACGAAATAAAGACTTTGTACAGCTGTGTGTAAATATTATTAAATATCTGTAAAACTGTGTGCAAATATTAAATGAATATCTGTACGGCTGTGATTATAGAGATTAAAACATTTGTAAAGTTGTGTGTAAATCATCATTAAATACCTGTAAAGCTGTGTAAAGAAATGATAAAATAACTGTTCAGCTGTGTGTAGATCAGCGGCGGCTGCTGGTCTTTCAAGGAGGGGAAGCTCATTTTTCTGGCCTACATCATAATTGTGTTTGTTTATTTGTATGTAACAGAACAGAGTTGCCAAACACAACGGCAGTTGTTTTTAACAAAGGCAAAAGTCGCTGAGGATCGGTAAAGTCTCCAGAGCAGTTAAGAACAATGGAATGAATAACTTGGAAAATGCTCTGGTAGATGATTTCTACCAGCTCATCCAATCATGGATGCAGAAGCTCAGCGTCCGCGAGAAAGTTGGGACCGCCCTCTCGTCATAGAACTCCAGAGAAGCTGAGCGTCCGATGGGCGGGACAAAGCCCAGCATTTATCCAATGAGCGTCTAGTTTCGCTGCTGGAACAACCCACTTTGAGCTTCCACATTGAAGTCAGCAGACTCTGAGCGTCCGGCTGTGTGAAGCGCTGAGGCGGTGCGAGGATGAATGAGAATGTTAGAATAATGTGCATAAATGTATATAGAAGTTATCATTATTCCTCATATTCTTATGTAAGAGTTGACTACAAGTATAAACTGTTTTGACCTCTTTTTATACTTATATAAGAGTGTTTCCTAACTTCTCTCTCCAATAGATTTACTACACAGCACAACAATGTTCTTTCAGTTTTCTGTGACTGTGTCTTTCCTATCAGCAGGTGGGGGTGTGTGAGTGATGGATCCTCCGCAGTAAATCGTGGGGAGTTTTTGAGGAGGTGCCGCTGTTATCAGAAGGAGCTCATTAGATGCCGCCTTGACCTTCACATATTCACAAGTGTTCATTATTATGCTTTATGAGAATGTTTACTTTGCTGCACCATTTACCACCCCTTTAGAAACATTATGTAACCAGGGACTAAATAAAAGAGCACGGACAGAAAAAGAACCCTCAGTGTGGTACTGAGATATCCAAAACATATCTCTGTCCATTACTCAAACTTATCCATTGTCTTTCTCCTTTTTATTTCAGGTAAATGCAAGCAGGTTTTAAACCTAACATTTCTTTGGTCCTTCGAGCCGGATTCCAATAGACCAGACGATTCCAGCAGGTGAGGTGGACGACAGATAAGACCGTGGCCACGGCAGACTCTTTAGGATGAGTCTTGAAGACCTCTTTGAGGAACTGGACTCGACCTGCCTGCTGGGATCCGACGGTTGACGGAAATCCGAAGCCAAGGGGAAAGACAAGTGGTGAGTTGGTCTTTTATAAAAAGGAACGTGGAATGATTGAGATTCGCTTCGCGTAGAGAATCTATAAAAGACCAACCAAACATAAGGACGTGCAGGTCCTACAAATCCGTTAAAAAGGACGTGCAGGTCCTACAAATCCGTTAAAAAGGACGTACGGGTTCTACAAATCTGCTGGAAAAGGACGTACGGGTCCTACAAATCTGCTGGAAAAGGACGCACGGGTCCTACGTAGAAAAAACCGTGGAAAAGGCCTAATTGAAAAAAAAAAAAAGAGAAAAAAAAAAGGAAAAATTCTGCAGAACACGTGTTAAAAGTGTGATTGTGAAAGTGTGAGAGTGATTGGAATAGGCATATATCACTAGATATATCCTATTCATACCAAAACAGTGGGATTGTAAGTAGTGACCTTATTGTGGAAGCAAAGGCAAGAATTCTCCACTCGCAAGAGTAGTAGTGAGAATTACCACATAAGGAATTTTTTATCACTACCCCATTGAAAGAACCCAGCTTAATAGGACACCCTAGGTGTCACCTAAGCTGGACCAAAACACATAAAAATGGGGACGGAAGCCAATAAGGCTAATTTAGAAGAATTAAGATGTCAAGATTGGAGAATCTTTGAGAAAGAGCCCGAAAAATTACAATTCCTCGAATTATGGGTAACTAAATTTGGATTCGATGGCAGCCTAAGAACAAGCCAATTAAATAAACTACATGACTCCATAAGCATAAAATATGGGTGTCAAATGATTGATGAATGGAAGAAAGTAGCAGAAGCAGAAGAGGATTCAGAGGTAGAGGACAAGATAGGCCCAGACCAGGAGGAGCAAATCAAAGAGGGACATATAGCCCGCAGTTGTAAGAACAAATCAAAGGGAGGGAGGCGTAAGCAGTCAGGACGAGATCAAAAGCTATAAGTAAAGACAACTTTAATAATAATAATTATAAAATAATACTGATAATAATGCAGAAATGAAAGGTAGGAAAGGCAGTTAAATAGGCAGAAAGGTTTAATGCAGACTGCCAATTTTTAGCAAGTTAAATTCTCTGTACAGTCTCTGTTCTCTGCACAAATGATAAATGATTCATCACATGCCAGTTACGACCTTGACTCCTCCAGAGACACAGCAGCCAAAGAATCCCTCCCTATGCAGAAGCATGTAGCTATCAAAAGACAAACTGTGACTTAACTGTTACAGCCTATGAAATATAAGTTGTACTTGTAAACATGTTACTGGAGAAGAAGAGGTTTTCTGACCTCAGCTGGCATCCCTGTTAAACATTTGAACCAACTGATTGATATTATACCTTATTGGAACTTAAAGAAGTAATCATAGTAAAGTGCAGAGAACACCAAAGCTAACTTGGAATTAAAAGCCCTCTCTATAATGCCATTTAACGTATGATTAACTCCAAACGTGACAATGAATTTCATACTATATGAGATAAATAGGACGACTATGGGATAATAAGAGAGATGATAAACCATTTGATGACTATGACAAAGAGAACAAGAAAGAAGCAGGTTAAGAGGCAGAAATTTCAATAGAGAAAACAATAAAGGAAGTAGAAGTTTTGACAAAAGTTATGAATCACAAGAGCGAAGAGATAAAGAACAGTACCCTGACCAAGGTCATGAACCACAACATCAGAGAATTGTAGAGTTTTTTTGTCACTAGGTGAAGAGCTGTAGAAAAAAGTATCAAGCAGGACTAGAAGAGGGAGAGACAGCAAATGTTATTTGACAGAAATAAAGAGAAAGTGTGAACAGAGACGAAACAGAGGAGGAAGAAGTGCTAAACTTGGAGAAGATAAATAAATATATAAAGATATTTTGATAGATAGATTGATAGATATACTTTATTGATCCCAAACTGGGAAATTCTCTTGTTATAGCAGCAAAAAGTAAATATAAAACTAAATATAATAAGTAGTACAATGCAGACTAAAAATAATATTAATACTAAGTATATACAATAAATATAGGCTAAATATACATCCTAAGAGATAAAAGTGAGATATGAAGAACGTGGACTATTGAAATTAGTAAAAAAAAAAAAAAAAAAAAATGAAATGAGTAATAAATATGGTATGAGAAATATTACGGATGGGATGATAGATGTACAGACAATTTAAGGTGCTCGGTAATCCGATGTGATACGAGTTTTTAAAAAGTACTATAAAGCAGACAGGTGTGAGTCCCTGTCTGACATATGTGAGTTATTTAACAGTGCAATAACTTGTGGCAGGACAGATTTCCTGTATCAGCGGAGCTGCAACAGTCTGTTGGAGAAGGAATACATTGTGCAGACATAAAACCGCAGATATAGTTAATGATTCAGGGTTTACCCTTAACCTTTTTGTGTGACTCCGGTGCAAAGAAAACAGTTCTTAGACATAAACTATCACAGATTAGGTTTTCCAAACAAAAGATTTTTGTCAAATCAACACACAGAGAGAGCGTGAGAGATAGTAATAGCGAGTCATGGGCCTTGCCATGTCTCGACAGGAGCGAGGAGTGTAGTAGTTAACCCTATTGATTCATAAATTATTTAAAAATAAATAAATAAATGAAAATAAATAATTTACTATTTGATTTGTCCAGTTTGTTTAAGACATAATGCTCAAGACAGTATAAAACCAAAAAGAGGCAAATTTCCGCCAACCAATGCATTATTTGAAGCCATGCACATGGACTTCATAGAATTAAATCAGTGTGAGAGAAAGAAATATTGTTCAATGTTAATAGATCCTTTCACTAAATGGATAGAATTATTTCCTGTTACCCATCCAGATGCATTAACAGTAGCAAAAATCCTGCGTAGAGAAATAATTTCTTGATTTGGCATTCCAAAACGAATCTACAGTGACAATGGAACTCATTTTGTAAATGAAATAAATAAATAAATAAATAATAATAACTAGAAAATGCAATTTCTGAAGAAATTGCGAGATGGATTGCTCCAGCTAAAATTGTAATTGCTAAGCTGCTATTGTAAATGGTTTAAGTTCAAAAATTATGCGAAAGAGATGAGATTTGAAGATTCAGAAAAGTTTAAATCAGTTTAAATGAGTTGGAATTAGTTTGAAAAAAAATGAATACTGAATGAAGAATGAAATGATTTAAAACTGAAAAAATTAAAATGATCATAATCTGGATGTATAGAGAAGTTGAAGGCTTTTAAAGTTGTGTAAACAAAATGTGAGAAAAGGGCCAATTTAAAAATTCCGTAATGTATTTCTAATAAGAAAAATTAGTTGGAAAACCTGGAATATCTCAAAAAGTAAGAATGTT